TGTCCCCCCCCCCCCCCCCTTTGTTAAACGGAAGGTGAATACCCCCAAATCACGATTTTGCGGCTCTGGCAAGACTACTACGATGAATTGCACGCAGTTCCCTTACTGCCTGCAGCGCCTCTAGTTCTGCGTACAAGCTGCCCCTTTTTTCCTGGATCCTCTGCTTACCATCTTCTAGCCAAAAAGAAGGCATGCACCGTTGGGAGCACTAAGAGGCGCGCTTATACCTCGATAGTGCTATCTGGATGCTGCATGCACGCGGCTCGGCAAGCCGCTCACGGTACAGTGCTCCACGATAGAAGTCCCCTATACTGGCAAGATGACCCATTTCTGGATTGAGCTTACATTGTATACCCGTGGTTTTGCCGATTCTGGTGCCCCGTCCGTCATCCGCCAAGCGTAGTCGGAAAGACTGTGCAAACGAATACTGGCAGGTTGCAACTCATTGCCGTAACTTCTGCACTTCGCAGCAACCCCTGACCATCCATACGGACTTGGATACGCACAGCGTTAACTCGAAGAGGAGTTGCAGGTGCGGTTATCGCGTGTCCCGTCCGCATCCCTGCACCCAATTTGCTTGGGTTCCAGGGCTTCCCTCTGATCGCAATGTTTGCTCCCCTGACGACGTCGCTCGAACACTTGCTTTACCAGCTCCTTAGGTATTTTTCTAGGCCTACAATCTCGAATCATGCAACCTTTTTTGTTGTAAAAAAGAACAAGAGCCGCTCGGCGAGGTCTCCGCCCTTCTTGAAGCTGAATTTTCTGGCTGCCGGCAATTACTGCTTTCTACTGCTTTCTAGTTACTTCTGAACGGGGTGAGCTCACTAACAGCACCCATGCTTATGGGTTGTCTACCGGGGCCATTCCCAAACCCGCTTACTTTCCCTGCTAGGGAGGTGAAATTCGCGTTTTTTCCTACCTATGATGCGTAGGTACCCCGTCATCTCCGCAAGCTCAACACTTCTGCCCCTAAGTTTCCGCTCCGCCGTGCGGCCAGTTACCGACTGCATTTCTCCCGGGAGACAGCCATGCAATCAACCACTGGCGGGCGAGTACCGAGCCTACCGCGGGATTTCGGTTCACCAAGGACTGATACTTCTCAATATAGTGGCTCATGACCAGCTTCTCGTGTTGAAGTCTTCTCAGTTCTGCCCTAGTCTGCTCGCCGAGATCGGAATAAACTTCCACCGCGGATAATGGAAAGCTTCCGTAGTCCAGATGCTCTCCATAAAAGTGGTAATCTTACTTAGCTAGAACGACCATTGCCGTGACACCCCTCCTAGTACCAAGGATGCGAAGAGCAAATGTAGCTCTTCGGTTGCATTTTGGACGTGGACGTACAACTTCAGGGAAAGAACTCCTCCACTGTCCTCGGACAGCGGCGGGTATAAAATATGGACAGATGGCAAGGGCTGGTGCATTCATTAGCAATTGCGTTTGCTCTAAAAACACTTTGCGCTGGATGGGATGCAGGCGTTGCGCTGATTTCAACGAAACGAGGGTCCGTTGGCCGCTTTCTCAACAGAGGGCAGGTCCTGATCGGTCGCCATTTTGTAAATGGCTGTGGCTTGAGTGAATATTTATGAAAAAAACATGACGGTTCTGCCCTTCTCTCCCCTTTTCGGCTTACGCATTCAAAGAGCATCGCTACTATTCAGCGCTATGCATCGGGGTGCCGGCTGTCGGGGGCCATTTCGTATCCTTCTCCTGTTCCTGCGAACCATGCGGTGTTTTGAAGCGTAGTAAGAGTCATCGATCTTATCAAAGGGCAGTCGCGAGGTGCACAAGACCCCAAAAGACGTAAGAAAAACTCCCCAAAAAAAAGAAGATATCCCCCCTCTCTTTTCCAAGCTTCCTGAGCAGAGTGGACAAGGGCCTGGGGCTGCAGCAATGAGGAGCTGGCCGGTCATGAATCGCCCCGCACCTCCGTGAAACTGGAGTGCAGCCCCACGTGCAAGGAGAACCAAGTCCCCTATGCCGCACGAGCAAACGCTGTAGATAACCGTAAAATACGTATGTGGCCACCCATAGCCAGCCTTGCATGCAAGTAGAAGTACTCGCACCAACCTCGCACACACCTTGCTGCACTCTGGGTCCGATGTAGCATAACTAGGTCGAGCACACGCGACTCAAAGGCACCCCACAAGAAATTTTCTGGTCTCTCTTATATTTCGTATAATCTAAACATTATTAAATCTCTCCTGGAGTCCAATTCGTGGGAATATAAAAACACCTAAACTGCTTATTTCCTCTACGCTAGGTGCGTCGAGGCGGTGTCGGTAGCAGGCCCTGGTTCTTCACTGTCTGAGCGTGAGCTATGAACGTAACAAGCACCCCTACTGCTAGCCGCCATCTGAAATCCAGTTATCAAGCCGTACTATCACTCCATATTGCTGTTTATTTAGTATAATTTGGGCCTCTGTAGATGCTTTGCTCTGTCGGACAACTCGATGACACTGTCTGATTACACTACATCGAGTTCCTCGCGAGGCATGCATTCGGCGCAAACGTGTGCCATTTTGCAACAACATTGAACGCCGGGCGAAACGCGCCTCGACCTCCAACCGCGGCAGGTTTTTTTGCGCAGGAAACTAACATTTACAGTTAACGTTAAACTCTAAAATGAGTGGCTTCCCGCCTCCTCTTCCCGTTGCCGGCGCGCGCGCTCCGGCGCAGAGCGGCGTCATGGCACAGTCAGACGCTCCGATATCCAGCTTTGGAGTCGCTGCACCACAGCAGGAATCCATTGCTTACAATTTTAGAAGAACGGGCAAGCTCCATACCACTGGGGCGGCTTTTGTATCTCTTGCTATGCTCGCGTTTACTGCTGCCCTAGTGTTCCTGGTTCTCCATTGTTTCAGGGCGCTGACATCCGGCAAAAGTACGGAAAGTTACGGAGTAACCGCACGGAGGCTTGCGGAGGAAGGAGGAGAATCTTGTTCTGTAAGTAGCTGTCTGTGGATCCATTCGTCTCAGCACCACGGAATCTGGATTGGGACAGAAATGACGTCGTACAGGAAAGGCCATTTAGTGACACATGACATTCCTTGGGGACCATGGCTTGGGGACCAGTAAAATTATACCTGAGACGAAGGATACAAAAGCCACACCCTACAGCTAAAGGTTGGCCGCTGGAGTGTCCTTATCCATCTGCAGGGCAAACAGTCTGTGGCGTGGTTACGCTCTGCTCCTTGTTTGCAGAGCAATTCTAACGCTCTACAATAGTGCACTGTTATGTGTACATCGTTGCTTGAATCTGTTAACTTCCGGATCATGCATTGAGGGGATTGCCTTTCTGCTTCGCTTGTGCATATTATCACTGTCGTATTATGCGGAAAGTGCTGTATCTCCTGTTGTTGGATGCATCTGTTGCATTGCTTTCTTGTTTTTGACGTTTGCATCTGCATAGGTACTGGCTTCCTCTTCAGCACTGTGCGATGTCCCGGGTTCTGTGGTGAGTTTGAGGTCGGCTCCCCGACTAATAGTAGTTGATTTGCCAGTGTTTTGACGTTAACCGATAGTTGGGGAACCAATGTTATCTTTGTACTGGCGAAACGAGAGGTCGTTGTGGCGACGCGCTGGCGTCAAGCAAAGTCATAGAATGCTTGTTCTTTAATGTCCTAAATGTCTGTGAAGGCGGTGCTCAACTTCAGCCGCAGGTGGTCCCAAATGTAGAAAAAGCTGCGAGTAACATATCTGCAGGCCAATTATGCTTTTTTCATCAATAAAGTACCTCCGTGCCATAGAGAAGAACAACAGTTTCAGGTATTAGTCTGCATTCGTGTTTAGCACGCAGTTGGCACTGATGCCTGCGTCACTGCTGCCAGTTGTTTTCAACGAGCTCTTGGACAGGAATACGTACTTATGCGATTTTGATCTACTCGCGTTTTGCGTAGTACGTTTCTTGAGCTGGTGATTTAGGGGATGAACTGAAAGCGGTGAACTGGGTTGCGTGGTGGCGGGAGTGAGAAGCTCCTTAGATTGGCTAAATGCGAATATTTCCGCAGTTTTTTTGACTGCGTTGATTCCTCTTGCAACGCCATGCAACGGGAGAAGAACAGGGGCATTGCCTTCCGGTTCCTTACCAAAAGGAATACAGGATATTTACGTTTTTCTTGGCTGGTGGCAATATTTAGGCACTGCATCACCACCAGACCGCACATAGGTGGAAAGTCGGAGTTGCGGTAATGATTTTTGGCATTCCGAGCATCATCGTGTGCCCCTTTCATCTTGCAATGCGAAATACCTTTTTGCACAGGTGCTGGTGGTTACGTGGATCCTGGCTAGCACTAGCTGCTAGTTTCGGTACTGTAGAGGCAGCTACACTCTGACAGCACTGAACATGTGGATTGTTCATCGCCACTGCCAGCTGCTAGGGGTGGCGCTCCGGCCAGACGGTACGCTCTTTTTTCTAAAGAACATGCATTGCAAGAGGCAAGGACGAGCACAGACAAATTTGGGAGCTCACACCAACGGTTTTTCAATATGATAATTGATATCGAGGACTACAGTGCAAGCTCATGCTGGCAAGTACAGCAGCGGGTGCAACATTAGAACAGAAAATGAGCGTTTTCGCCAGATCACCGCTCGGGGACTGTGCTTACGCACTGGCTGGCGTGAACAAAGGTACAGTCGGAACCACCACCGCTGCTTCCGTAATAGTGGAAAACCCGTCCGCTGATTCAAATTTGTTCCCTGCGTAGACGAGTTGAAATTGTGTTTGCGGCGGAGCTTTTTACGGCAAGACTTTGATCACACCCTGGATACTGCTTTTTCGCAGTGGCTACACCTCGTAGATCGGATTGCAGTGCTTAAGGCTTTCCCCGGACGCCTGATTCTAGGTCCTCAAGTATCCGTTGACTTGCTGAGCTGCCGTACGCACTGCTTCGCTGATTTTGCCATGCCCATTGTCAAAGCTCTGTCGGGTTAGGCACTTTGTTGCTAACATACTTCTTCTCTGTACCTTCACTTCGTTGTTCTATACGCTGCTCTTCAGTTGTTTCGAGACAGCACTAGGAACGCTTCCCGTCCCTGTGCTGCTGCGCAAGTCCTGTGCGGGGCTGTTGTTGGCTACACATGCGTTGAACTGGTACGCTGACATTGCCGTCACAAGCTGTGGCATTGCCGTCGGGAAGGTGCGACAAGAACTTGGTTGGGGTAGTGGCTAAGGAATATCGCTACTGTGATTCCTGTTTACGTGGGATCAGGGCGTGCGGAAACGGCACACTGCACGGGGATCACACCAGCGAGAAGGTTGCCCCTGTCCTTCACCACACCGATAAAGGCCTGGTTATATCGGTCTTCATGCACCAGGTGTTTGCCGAAACACGTTCTGCGTTGTGGCACCGCAGCGGGTTCAGCTGTGGGGATCCGAACTATGTTGCGGAGCTCGCATGGTGCCTCTCGGCTGCAGCAGCTCTTGGTCATCTGCGAAATGCCGCAGGCGTCAGGCGAAACAAACTGTTGTGCAGCCATACCAACTCCGTCCGTTC